CCAGGCAGGAATACAGGGCAGCACTGCTGCCTCCAAGGAACACAGAAGCACTGGCTGTTGTGCAGAGCCCACAGCTGGGGAGCAGCATTATTGCCGTGCACCCTGGGGCCCAGTGTGCCTGGTGTGCTCACCTTCACCCCTCTAGCATGAAGAACTGCACCATGGTGCCCCAGGCTGCTGTTTCCAGCCTGCAGCCACATGTGAACCTGCTCTCCCAGAGGTAAGTCAAGGGGCCGCTGCCAGAGCGCAGCCTGGGCTTGCAGCTCTTTTTCCCCGCTGTCTTTCCCCTGACTTTTGTTTGCTGGAAACATCAGAATGTTTCGCTCTGGTGTGGCAAACACACAGGCAGGACAAGCAGAGCTCCAGTTGTTTAGTATTTTATTAAAGAGAAATATACACACCTCTCCCTGGCAGAGTGGAGCACGAGCCCAGGGCACGTCTCTTAGAGCACACCCGTGTTTGTGCAAAGGAAAGAAGCCACGTTTCTGTGAGAGCGTGTTTCCGAACGGGGCGTGCGATGGAGCACGCTGTGACACACTTGCCACAGCGCTGGCTGCCGAAACGCGGTCCCACGCCAGGCTGCTCCACTGACGTTTTACAGGTACAGAGGGAAGAGGCAGCTTATTGTGCTTAAGACATCTGAACAAATCCTGGGTAGGAGACACTCACAGCTTGTGAATATTGCTAATTACTTACAGTTAAGAAAGAACGTATCCTGACAACAGTCATACAAACCTGCAAGACCACGGGACCCCACGGTAAGTCTTGGTCATCAACACCCAGCGTCGCTTCACTGCGCTCACAGCCGGTGCCCCCTGACAGCAGGAGGAGGCGGCTCCTGCTTGCTTGCCGACAAGGTGAGCTCATGCCAAGCCAGAGGGTCCTGGTGACCCTCCCTGTGCTTGGCACCCACAGCGAGAGCGGCGAGGAGACCCTGTCCTCACTGCCCATAGTCCCTTGGGAGCATCCAGCCCACCCCATCCTCCTGGGAAGGAGGAGCTGGCTCTGGAAGAAAGCTCAGGCAGGCCAGGCACAAGAGTGAGCTTTTCCAACGCTCCGCTCAGATTACAATTGAAAGATTAAATATGAGTAAATGTTGTAGGTTTATACATAATGCTTCCTTCTACCTATGGAATGTGTCTGAATGGTCAAAAGACACTAAAACGTTGCTAGAAACCTTGGTTAACCAAGAAAGACAACCCCGCCCTTAAAAACTAAATAAATCCTATTTAATTTTCCTACAGCCTTCATTTAAATGCCCTCAGAAAAAACAGAGTATTTCTGGGTGCCTTGCAAGGATGTACCTGTTCATGCAATGGCCCAAGTTCCTCATTTAACAAGCATTGCACTTTTTTATGTTAAGTCATCAAAACTATAAAACCTATTATTTTTGTCTGAAAGTGTTAGTCTAAAAAGTACAGTATTACTTTATAACCATTTATGGTAAACTCCGAGCACACGCGCATGTGCACACACACACACTGTTGCCTAAACGCTTCCTAAAGATACTGATTACAAAGTGTATAAAATTAGTAGTACATTGTCAGGATACAGTGAGAGCGATGAGCCACCCTTGAACATGGACTATAATCTAGTATCAATCACTAAACTGTACACATTTATACAGCCTTACATTCACCAATGACTTCTGAAAGGTAAACAGCAAATACACCAAGAAGTTCAGTAATGCTGTTGAAAACAGAGTCATTACTGACTCCAACTGATTCCAGCTCACTGGAACCAGAAGGACATTTTTGTTTCAGCAAGCAGGGCTGAAACCAACCCAGAGCGAGAGAGCTCGCTCTTAACCAGCTGGTTGAGGAAACCTCTGTTCAGACCCTGCTCGTGAACTGGGCGCAAAGGAGCGGGAGCCGAAGCTTCCTCTCTCTGCTAGAACAACCTTAGGCTGTATTTTAACAAGCGTGCACACTCCCGAGCCCATGGGCCACCTCCCCGGGCACCTCCGCGCTGTCCCCAAGCTCTGCTGACACAGTGGCGTGGCTGATAAACTACTTGTGTAAAGTTCTGTTGTTATTCAGGCAGATGCAGGCCCTGAGGCTGTTTGGTCCTGAGTGCACGTGTCCAGCACCAAACAGCACAGCAGGAAGCAGCAGGCAGAGCCGAGGGTGGATTTTGTGTGTTTGGAGGTAGTCACTTCCTTTGCCAATCGTTTTGCACCCGGTCTAGCATGGTAGTGATTAGGTGGCCACGCTTCATCTCTGCCTGCTCCCTCTCCTGCTGAGCTGCAAAAGCCAGATCCCCTTCCTGAGATCCACGTAGAGAAAAGGGACCAGCTGGATCCAGGCAACTGATCCCCCTCAGGAGCAACAGTTGCCTTCTCAGGAGATTTCAGAGCCTGACCTAACTCAGCAGATGCTCGGTGCATAGCCTGGAGAAAAGTTGGAGGCACTTTGTGCGTTCTCTAGCCTGCCATACCCACCCGCTGGAAAAGTGGTGCCAACGGCCTTCGAGAAGGGTCGCACCAGCACTAGAGAAGAGGATGGACAATGCGCAAGGACAGGGAGATGGACGGAGCCTCTGGTTGCCGCACCTCACATAGCTATTGGAGAAAGAGTAAGGGCTACTTGGTTTTGCTGCTTGCAGGCACGCTGCACCAGCTCACCCTCTGTGCTTTGAAGGCCCACTGCAAACATCCTGACAGATGGAAACATCTCGAGTGGCACATCCTTGGATGAGAAGTAGTATATGATGTAACCCAGACCAAGAAAAGGGCCTGTTTTGGCTATAAAAGTCTTAAGATCTATCTCTACCTTAATGTGCAGACACGGGAGATCTGATCAGGCTGAGAACATGTTAAAAATGCTCAGGCTGCTGCTAGTTCACCAATATGCAAGTCCCGTGACTGCACTCCCATGAGGAATTTGAAATATCAAGTGCACTGGAAAAAAAGGATTGTCAGAGAAAACAGAAAATATAAATACTAAAAAAGCAACATTACTGAGTGGGAACTGGACTGATCTGATACCAGCTTCTCGGATCACACAGTGGTTTCTATAGTCTCAATCACTTCCATCTCGCACTGCGAGGGTGACAAGAGCGGGCACTCATCTGGTTCCCAGCTGCTATCCGGGCTGTAATCTTCTTCTGAACTTAGCTCGGCCACCCCCTCCGTGTCCTCATCACACGACTCTATGTAGTGAACCCCCACCGCATTGATCCCAGAGTCCTCAGAGCTGGAAGGGGATGAGCAGTGATCTGGTTTTGGTGTATTGCTCTCTTTTGTGATTAAGGCATTGCGAACAGGGACTTCCTCAGGCTTTATCTTGTGGGGCACGGGGGGAGGCTGCCTCTGCACGTAGCACATCTTCCCGTTGATGCATTTCACGCGGTAATTGTCAATGAAGAGGTCTGCGATGGTGCAGAACTGTGGGGAGTCGGGGGGCAGAGGGGGCTGGAAGACCGGGGCAAACTTGAGGAAGTGTTCGGTGAGCGACACGGAGATCTGGATGGTGTTTGTAGACTCCCGAGGGCGAATGGGTATTTCGGTGCTGGGAAGCTGCTCTACGGGTGTCATGGGCTGATAGACGTATTTACCTGCGGGGAAAACAGAAAAGCAGCACTTAAAGATCATTATCTTTAAGTTAGAAATAAACTGATGACAAGATGCTTGCTCTGGGCCATTAATAACAACCAGCAGTTCCCTGCACTCAGCAGCTGCTCTGTTTGCAATGGCCTCAAGGTCTTTAGTCCTCTCCTGCTATGGATTCTGTGATGCTTTATACTGTATGTAAGCACAACTGCCCTTGCCCAGTTGTGCTCCTGCCCCTGCTTTGAAGACAGCTGTAGGACAACACTTAACTCTGGAAAATTAACTCCAGGGGCACAGCTCCGTAGCTTTGAGGTGGGACAGACGGCAAGGCTGACGGCACCCCTTTCTGGGGGGACAAGAACTGAAAAGATGCTCAGACTTTGGTTTTTTTCACTGAACACCAGAGCAGGTCGAGCTTATATCTTTGCTACAGTGATCAAAATTTTATTAAGTTATTGTTACTCAAAATCAATGAGTCTCCCTGCATGTGTTTCTTTTTCTGGGGACTAAATTGTGGTGTTCCATATTATAAACCAGAGACTCATGCATGGTTACAATTAGAACTTTGAAGTAGAAAATAAGGGAATTCTCAAGCCATAGAAACGCTTTT